AGATGTTGATGGTAATCGAACTGATGATGTTGCAGGTGTATTTCGTGCTGGTAAACGTTCAGTTGTTAGTATATTTTGACCAGAACTAGTACGTGATCGTATTGGTATACGTTCGGGTATATCTGGAGGACGTAATAGAACAGATTCCGTACTTGTACTGGGTAATTTTGTAATACGTGTTAAAACTGATGAATTATCAGTTAATCGATCAAGTTGTGATCCTGAATTAGTCAGAATTCTTTCGAGTTCTTCAGTTTTTTTTGTTAATTCAAGAATTTTTTTCTGTTGTTGATCATTTTTATCTGTTTGTTCTCGAAATTCGGTTTCACTAAAATTACAAGATTTATTTATTATATTGAAATATAGTTTTATTCATACCGATCTTGTAATTCTTTAATTAATTTTTTAGCTTTTAAATATTTTTCTTCGATATGGTCAAAATCTTTTTTTGTTTGTTCATAAATTTTCTAAAAATAAAAAAAATGAAGAATTTTATTATAAACATTTAAACATACTTGATAATATTCTTTTTCTTTTTCAACATTTGCTAAAGTTTTTTCTAATGATTCATAACGTTGTTTAAGAATATCGAATTCATCTTGTCTAGATTGTTTTTCCGTCATAGACCACATTTGCTACAATAAATATTTATAAATGATTGAAAAAAAATGGTAAAATTTTTTATTTAATACTTCATAATTTTTTTCATGTATTTTAGCTAATTCATGATGATTTGGAGGTTTTATTGTATCGTCATCAATTCTATCTTGTTCATTAAATTCTAAATTTGAAAAACCATCATCAGTTAAATGTCGTTCATTATATGTATCATGATGATGCTGTAATGCGCGTGACATTTCATTACGTTCTTGATCCATTTGTAATGATTGCTGAATAAGACGAAGTATTTCTGAGTTTTCAACATCTTTTTCACGACCAATTACAAATCTATAATTGATATATTTTAAATTTAATAAATAATAAACGAATTTTAATTAAATTAAATTAAATTACCTGACTAAGCCTGATGTTGATTTTAAAACACTTGTAGCATGTGTATGTGTTACACCTACAAGTGAATGTTCATCAACTTCAATTATCTGATCACCTATTTGAATTCTAAATAAATAAAAAAGAAACGTGAAGGTTATATTAATAACTCTTGAGACTTATAATGTGACAAGTCTTCATCAAAAATTGTAACTGACAAAAAAAATGTGTAACATATTCCCTAGAGAAAGTTCTATTATTATAGAGTATAAAAATAATAATTAAGAAGAATTTGTAAAATAATCTCTAAAGAATTAATATGTAAAAATAATAAAGATACTTTGATCTTGAATAAGATCATGTCATCAATGTTTTATTAATCTATTTATAAAGATATCATTGAAAAAGATTAGCAAAACTTCTTTCATGTACTATGAAGGACAGATATATCTTCAAGGGTTATATATATATATATATATGACATATTTCGAGATCTCAACGCTTATTAGAAATAATCGTGTTGATAAGAAAATTAATATGATAAAAACGTACCGTCCATCTCGAGCAATAACGCCTTGAGGATTGAGAGATTTAACAAAGATACCCAATTTTTCCAAACCACTATCAGCACCCACACCCATTCCCAAAACACTAAAATAATGAATTGATTTTTTACAATAATTATAACACAATTTTATACCTTATTCCAAGACCATCGGGACCTTTTTCAATTTCGACATGAAAAACATGCATTTTCTCAATTCGTTTTTCTAATTCATATTCAGCCGATGCAGAAAATGGATCAATATCATCATTTCGTCGATTATATTCACTTGGTGAATATGTTGGATATACCTGAAAAAATCAATCAATGTATTATTTCATGATTTTCTCAAAAAAATAGACTTACACGAATCGGTGCATTACTAAATTTAACCCGTCTAGTACCATTTGGTGATAATGTAATATCTTTCTCATCATCGTTTGGTTCTGGAAGACCTGGTTTTTCGTAAAAGATTGGAGATGATGACGTACTATTTGGATTAATATAATCTATACCTAAATCAAATTAATTTTAGATGAAAAGAAAATCGAAAAAAGAATTATTTACCATTTAACATTGGATTATCAATCCATTTTTGTTCTTGTTCATCTTCTTGTTCTTGCTCTTGTTCATGCTCTTGTTCATGTTCTTGAGTAATTGAAATATTGTCTTTTTTTTCTTCACCTGTTATTATTATTGGTTCTTGAGTATCATTTTCTTGAAATGATAATTTTGGTAATGGACGATCAATTGTAGTTGGTTTAATAAATACTGTATTTAAATGATCCATACGTTTAAGAATATT